ACTGGACCCAGTGCTCCAGATGGGGCCTCACCAGGGCAGAGTAGAGGGGGAGGATGACCTCGCTCAACCTGCCGGTCACACTCTCCTTGATGCACCCCAGGATGCCATTGGCCTTCTTGGCCACAAGGGTACATTGCTGGCTCCTGGGAAACTTGCTGCCCACCAGGACTCCAGGGCCTCTCTCCGCAGATAGATACAAACACAGATAGTGGGCATCCTGTTGTCCACCAGGACTCCAGGGTCTCTCTCCGCAGAGCTGCTCTCCAGAAGCTCAGCCCCAGCCTGTACCAGCGTGTGGGGTTATTCCTCCCACTCCAAAACACAGATAGATAGCAGATAATTTTCCAGTAGACTGGCTGCTTAGATCGAGGTTGACAAAAAGTCTTAATTCCCAGAGCAGCATATTTGAACAGTCCTGTATGTGATCCAAAGAGCAAATTTCACAAGAAGAGGAACCACATTTCTCCCACGTCACTCACCTTATTCAAAGCAGACCTACTTCCACGTGTCCCAACTTTGAAATAATCCGGTGGGGTCTGTATCTCTGCACTGCACCAAGAGCCCTGCTCCATGAAACACACCCGACCAAGGCTGAACGAAACAGAAAATGGTTGTGACCCAGCACATCGGAAAAGCCGTTGGCACTTGTGATTTCCTCTCCTTTGAACATGAGCAGAGTCCATTTTCCATACTGGTGTCTTCTTTGTCCTCCCCACTGATCTCCTCCGAGGAACATTCGTAGGGATTACTGGTGTTTGGAAACAGGGAAATAGCATTTGGAGAGTGGAAGAACAGTAGAAAGAGTTCCTCGGTTTATATCAGGCTTTCTACTTAGAATCATAGAATGGTTAGAGTTGGAAGGGACCTTAAAGATCATAGAGTTCCAACCCCCTGCCATGGGCAGGGACACCTCCCACCAGACCAGGTTGCTCCAAGCCCCATCCAGCCTGGCCTTGAACCCCTCCAGGGATGGGGCAGCCACAGCTTCTCTGGGCAACCTCTTCCAGTGTCTCACCACCCTCACAGCAAAGAATGTCGTCCCGAGATCTAATCTCTTCCAGTTCTCTTCCAATTTAAAACCGTTGCCCCTTGTCCTGTCACTACACTTCCTGACAAAGAGTCCCTCTCCAGCTCTTCTGTAGGTTCCCGTCAGGCATTGATAGGCTTTTATAAGGTCTGCCCAGAGTCTTCTATTCTCCAGGCTGAACAACCCCAGCTGTCTCAGCCTGTCTTCATAGCAGAGGTGCTCCATCCCTCTGATCATCCTTGTGGCCCTCTGCTGGACCCGTTCCAACAGATCCATGTCCTTTCTGTGTTGAGAAAATTTTGACCTGCATTGAATTTTACTGAAATCCTGATCATAACGAGGGATACATGCTCATTCTTTTGATCTAATGTGGCCGAAAGCAAATTTAAATATGAAGGATACCTAGGGAAAAATTAGGGATTTCCACTGGTTTTTCTCCCCTTCTCATTCAAACTTTATTACCATTTTAAAACAGGATATAAGCAGTTGTCCCACTTTTATTCTAAATGGTACAGAATATCTACTTCCTATTTTTCTAGCAACCAGAAATACGAAAGACCATCAGTAAGGCTTATATTCTACTTTCGCTATAGTGAACTGTATTTTTTGTTCTAAGCTTGATTAGATCCCAGCTGAACTCCAATGGAAACAGGGTGCATTTTTACCACAATCTTGGCAGAAAGCACTTTTGTGACTCCTCCATCTTCAGAGTCCTGTCTTTGCCTGGCTGCTCACCAGAGACCCATGCACCTGCAGGAAGCTCCAAAGAGACTCTGGTCTTCAAGAAAAGTTTTGAAAGAAAACAGACACCCATAACATTTATGTGACTGGAATCTTAACTTCTACTGTTCCTCTGAAAGGCATCTCACTGGCATGAACAAATCCATTTCTTAAATAAAAAAGAAAAAAAAAAGTCTTAAAATCCCATTTAACACCGTTTTGTTACTGAGGACACTGATTATTTCTCGCATTAGAAGTAAAAATAGAAGCTATGATTACATAGGGACTTTGTGTTTCTTTAAAAGATAAGGATTCAGATTAAAAAAAGATTCTCTTTCTTCTCATGACTGTTGTGTGATGAGTATCCAGATAATGTACTTTGGTCCCAAACTGTAGTTTCAAATATTAATGCTGTACCTCAAAGTCATGGGAACTACTCCAGAAATGATAGCCTGCTGTCTGTTCTGTCTGTATCAGGCCCACAAATGGCCTTTAAAATTGGCAGATGATTATACTTTTTCCCTATTTTTCCCAAGCTACCAATTTTCCAGGGTGTGTTGACAAAATTCCAACCACTGACCCTACTTCTCAATATATGAAAGCTTTGTGTTTTCCGATTTCGGAACAGCATCTAATTGTTGCTAAACATTCCATAAAGCTTTACTTTGTCTTGAACTCAAACTCAACCACCACTCACCGTATTCTGAAGTGCATTACAATGCAAGGAAGTAGCACTGTTCAGGATCGGACATTATTTCTCTCTTAATCTGGGCAATACTTTGTCATTAACTTTCCCGATGATGCACTGACATTAGTTAATGCTGTTCTGATGTTCATTTGCTCGCAATCAGGCCCTGAATTGGTTTGATTAGACCTACTGTATGGCTGGTTGATGACAAAACCTCATTGATTACACGTGGTCTGCTTCTCATTTCCAGTCAAGCTTTCTGTCTCGAGACATGAATAGTTTCATTAATTAGATGACCTAAAGATGTTGACAAGCATTCAAGCTTGTCCGGTTCTGGCATAATAATCCCAGTATTATGGATTCATTGTCTGTAGTCAATGAAAATTTGGTTATTCATTTAAAAGAAAGCAGAATCAAAACCTATTGGTGTCCCTTATATTTGATTATGCTTCCAGAATATATGCAGTGCAATTTCCTCCTACTTTTAGAGGCTGCTAGGCTTCACAAGGAAAGATACCAATTGCTCATTCTGGATCTTAAAATCCCTTCTGCCCTGATGAAGAAATCTAAATAATATGAACAAAACACGACTAGCTAAAACCTAGAGCTTTAAAAAAATGTTCTGGATGCAAGTCAAAATAATAACAATTTACATTGGGTCTTCTCGAAATGATGAAGTTGTTTAATAACACACCAACTGTGCTAAATACTTGGCAACACTGAAGTCAAATCTTCAGGACATTTCATTGCTCTGTTGACACTGCTCAGCACTTGTCTTACCTTGCACTCCTTCTCTACATCTCCTCATCCCCACCCCAGCCCCATCCTGTCAGGTTCTGGAGATGCAGTTTCAAATCTTTTTGCCAAATTAGGGCTATACAGCATTTTTAGATGCCACCCCTAGTGCCAACATTAAAAGCAATGGAAGAGACCTCCCATCTGTCTTGTGACTGGAAATGGGCACTTCTTCCCCCAACAGCACTCTATTCATCTGCCTTAATGCAACGCAAGCCACTCGTAATTTAGCCATGGCAGAACCTGTACCAGCACTGAATGTTTCTCTCAGGGAGCAGCAACAGTGGGTCCACTCCCCAAGGGAGGACAAGCCAGGACCTGTGGGTGAACACAGCCCAGCAGCCTCCCCTTGGCAGGACCAGGGTGACAACAGGTTCTGCTGACATCCAGGGATCATCAGACAAGACGAAATACTGAATCAGCTGCAGAGTCCATCCAGAAAGCCCAGTCAGAAACAGCAGAAAATGGGACTAAAGGCTACCCATAACACAGGTTTCAAGATCCACCCAGGAGATGGCAGCTCCACAGAGGAAAATGTGTAAAGATATAAGTGGGGGCAAAAAAAATAGAGTACTATCTGAGAGAGCAGTTTCAGATAATTAAGATTTCTACAAGCAAGAATGGAGTAATTGTCAGCAATTCCACTTCATTAGCATAAGCAAAGTATGAGCATCATCTATCCTGTTTCTGCAAGACATAATGAGCCATTTAAAAAAAAAAAAAAAAGCAGCAATCAAATACATAATAAAAGTAACTTTATGAGTAACATTTAAAAGGAAGTGTCTTAACTTGCAAAGATCAGCTGACACATACTTTGATGTGAGGCAAAGATACATTATCTTTTTGGAATTGTGGACTCACACTCACACTGGGCCTCACATGACCTCTGACATGTAAGTGTAGCAAGTCCCTTTGCAGACATTTTGACTTTCAAATCATCATGATAGCAATATTTTCTCATGAAAATGAGAAATTACTGGACAACACCCAAGTGCTACCATGGTATCATTGATATATTTCTCAGAAGTTGTTTCAAAAGCACTATTTATTACTCCAGATGGGGCTTCATCTGGAAGGGCAGAGCAGAGGGGGAGGATGACCTCACTGGACCTGCTGGCCACAGTCATCCTGATGTCCACAGGATGCCATTGGCCTTCTTGGCCACCAGGGCCCATTGCTGGCTCACAGTCATCCTATTGTCCACCAGGACTCCCAGGTCTTTCTCCTCAGAGCTGCTCTCCAGCAGGTCACCCCCAACCTGTCCTGGTGCAGGGGGTTATTCCTCCCCAGGTGCAGCACCCTACACTTGCCCTTGTTGAACTTCATAAGGTTTCTCTCCGCCCAACTCTTTTATGCAAAGAAGCAAACAGGTGACAACCATTTCACACTTTGGTTTTCAGACAAGAGGATGCCAGAAACTATGGATGTTTTGGACCTTTATGGGGCAGTAACAGCGCCACAGGGCCTGAAAGGGATTTTCAAGCCTGTCTTCTCCCTTCTTCCAGCCTTCAGAAACTACAGGGACTACTGCTCGTGCAGGCTTCAGTTTCCACTTGGTTAAGAAGACATACTGTAATTGTCAGCAAAGAACCCAGATCGGGCCTGGATCCTCAAAAAAACCCAAACATTCCTTTTACAAACATGTATTTCTAGAAGTTTAATTTCTATTCTCCTGCAGCAGAATTCCAAGAGCAAACATACTGAAAAGGTCAAAGACTCCCCCAAATTCCCCAAAACTTATGTCTTGCTTACAAATGAAGAGATGTGCAGTGGCCATATTATGAATGGTTTTATTGCTGTCTGACATTTTGTAATACATTGTTACCGTTCCAGTCTTTAATAGGTGGACTAAAAAAATAAACCCTAGATCTAAAAGTACACAGTATTAGTTTAACCCATAATCAATACAGCAACTGCTATATATGCTACACGGGCACTTTACAAGAAGAAAAAAGAAAAGGGAATAGTCATTTAAATCCATGTTTCAGGGATATCTAACATGAAATTCCTAAGGTTACTCCTAACAGACTCAACTACCCACAGAGCTGCTAGTTTGACTGTTCTCAAACAAAAGCTCAGCGAGAGATTCTGTGTATGGCTGTACTTATAGGTAATATTTCAAAGCAGTAACACTCTCTTGTGCTTAATGAGACAATATATTCTTCATTTGAAAAACGTGTGCAATAATCAATGCAGAAATTAAGTTCATTTTTAAACTGTAACACAAGTATAACCAAATACATACACTATATACAGGGTGTTAAAACATTAATAATTCTGCTTAGTCTTTTAAATCTGGTGCATGGTACAGACAGGACATCAACACACAAAAGAAGTTGCAGATATTCCCATGAAATTCCCAATCTAAATCCTTGAAGAAATGTCATGGCTACTTTGAACACTCCACAGGACTCTAAACTGAAGCAAAAAAGTTATTCCTAAATTAGTTCCATTCTAGCCATACAGAATTTCTAGCATGGAGATGTTATTTTTGCAGAAAAAAAAAAACCACCATAAGAAATGGCTACTTGATTGGCCTCTGCACAATCTGAAATTTCTCACTGGTAGTAACATCTGTGTGACCGTGCAAGGCTGTATATTCATTTACACACACATTACAAGAAAACATAAACCCACATCTTCTAGCAGAGAAAGGGAAACAGCCATAATAATACATTTTCTTTAGGAAAACTTGATTGATATATGCAGTATATATATAAAAAAAAAAAAAAAAAAAATCAAACCTACACAGTTGTCAGCATACAAAAATATGAGTTCAGTATCTTTTTATACTTCAAAACCTACTGATGAAAAATCCAGGTATCCTGAGACAGGTATGTAACTGTGCATCTAATTTACCAATGCCAGTGTACTGCTGGAGTACAATTCCAAAAGCACTACCTGCTTTTATCAACAAGTACAGAGATAAAATACATAAGGCAATGCATTAGCTTGAGAAACTCTTCTCTTTCCATAATGTTAAACAAAATGGTGCAAAATATGCGCAAAAGGCTGGCAGACACATCCATGAAGTAGCTGTAAAGTAAAGAGTACGGAACACTATGTATATATACACTACAGTTACTCATTTCACAATTAAAATGAAAATAAATGAAAGATACTTTTCCTTTTTTTGAGTATCATGCTTAACCATGATGTGTTTACTCACATTCAGGCAATTGTCTTTTTTTTTTTTTTTAATATATATATATACACACACACACACACTACATCCAACAATGAATTAATAAAACAGAAAAAAAATCACTGTTGTTTGCTTGTGAACGTCTCTGGGTAAAAACAGATCAATAAAACTGGTTCATTTTTTTCCATTAGGGGATTCTAACAAATGAAATGAAGTATGATTACTATAAATCCTCGTCAACTTAAGTTTAATTAGTTTGGCTCTAAAACAGTAGAAGAGCAGTTCTGACCACTGCTGACTGCATTAAAACAAACAAAACCCACCCAAACAAACAAAAAACTGATGCACTTGCTAAAACCCAGTGAAAGCCATCTAAAGTGCTACTGGAGATTGCAACTATCTCAATGGACATAAAATGGGTTGGTTGGTTCAGCTGACAGCAGGAATATTTACTTTAAAATGGATCTTTCAACACAAACACATTTGACATCTAGGAACTGGAATATATGTGGTTTTGTATTCATCTACATTTACAATCTACAAGAAATATAAGTGTCATGGAATACTAAATTTGGGGAACTAGACTGAATCAATGCTCATTTCATAGATTAAAGGCTGATTAGCATCCTGTTCCTCATAGATGATGGTTACAAAGATAGTCCAAACATCACCAGATGTACCTTAAAATCAAAATGTATGTTTTCTCCAAGCATGAAACCTATGGCGACTTAGCTGTTCCTTGGCATTTAAACCTCCTTCCCCAGCTGTTAAATCTCCTATACATCCCCCAAAGACTATCACTGAATCACGACAGTCGGTATTTGGTAATGTATGTCTCTAGATCCTTGAATTTATTCCCAGAAGAATTACACTTGTCTTGGATGAAAATGCCAAGTTACATCCAGAATGCTTTCCCTAAACCAGTGCAACACATTGTTGTAAAAACAGGCTGCATAATCTGTTGCTGTAGAAGCAAGGATTTAACAAGCTATGGGTGTTAGAGTTCTTGTAAATCATCACTCTTGGTCATCTCTTCTTGTCATCTGTGAGACTAAAAATTTATGAGAGGATAAACCTACTGTGATGAGAATGGATTATTTTTATTTTTATTTTTTCCACTCTGCAAGTGCACCTTGCATAAGGAACAAAGGATCCTCTACATATACTGAGCAGGAGCTTCAGTAATGAACATATGTAAATCTATAATTTAAGAAAGCACTTCTTAAATGTCCATCTAATGTTATCAGAAGGCAGATGTGTTAGAATGCACACTGTGCTCTGAAAACAGGGGCGAGAAAAGTTGTTTGAAAAGCTGCACAATGTTTCAGGGAGGAAATTAAGACATCAGGTACCCACTTTCCATAGTCAGCGGGTCACTTATGTCCAATTTCTTCTGGAAATCTTAGCTTTATGTTCTACCTGTAATCCCAGAAAACCAGGGTTTAAGTTTCTCAGACCCTTTGATGCCAGGCTAAATGGATGTTATTCCGCACTATGGGTCACCAACGAAGCCACATGAGTATTTGAAAACTGCCTCTGGGGGGGAAAACTAAGAATAAAGAACCAAAAATGAGATACAAACTCAAGAGGTCAACCCATGAAACATTAGCTAAAGCATCTGGTCCAGTGACTGGCTTGTAACTATCTGTCCCTCTAAGTTAACAAATGTCTATTACCACGTGCTTTCAACACCAAGATGAATTAGCTCCCACAGGGGGACTATTTTGACCTATTTGCGCTGCCACAATTTTCAGTGCAATAAAAAAAGTGACGATTAGTTACAATAATGTGTGCCTGTGCAACAGATTTTGTCCTCTAGGTTATTTTGCCTAGGAGAGAGGATTAGGAGCTCCGTGCAGCTGACTTGTCTCCTAGTGAAAAACCCAAACTCACACGTGGGCAAATCTCAGAGGAAGATGGACCATCCTTGGCATGAGGAGGTTGCGGCTTCTCTTGTCCTCCTGATGCCTGAACAAGCAGAAACATAAACGTTTTTGGCACTTTTGCCTGGAGTGGGAATTACCTGAAGCCAATACTGCCTCTCTGAATAAATCACATCCAAAAGTAGGAGATTATGACTAGAATAGCAACTATAGAAATCGAGACTCATTCTTACGTACGTGCATTAGGTCATCCTAGACAAAAAGAGTAAGTTTCTAAAGAGTAAAACTGTTTTCTGGGTTTTTTTTTTTGTTTTTTAATTAAAAAGATTATAGTTCCACAGCTTCCAGTAACGCTGAAAGAGTATAAACTTCAAAGCACAGAGGAGAAATTGTTACTGAAGTGTTTGTTATTGCATGTCTTTGTCACATTTTAAGGCAAACATCCTATATTTAAGGTTGGACCAGTAATTGATATGACTACATAAATATATACATATTGAAACTCACATATATGCGCAGACATATATATCTGTGGATATATAAAAATATTTATTTTCTTAGCAAAGTTAAAGTCTGTGTAAAAACATTAAGAATACTGAAAAAGGTAGGAGCTCTAATTCCTCCTTTGGAGAAAAGTAACAAGTCCCCTAGATATCCTATATAAAAAAACACTCTCTGCAAGAGTGCAGCTCATTCTGAATTCTCATTTCATTGTGGATTAATATATTTGTTGAAGATTTCATAAATAATTAGATAATATGCAACAATTACGTTGTGAGGTTTGACTGCTACAGCATAACTATAGGTCGTTGTACAAAAAAATAAATTTTATTCAGGCAGTATATGTCCTGCTCTAATAGAATGCATAGCTACTGCTACAAGTAGAACTATTTCAGAATATAGTTTTTGTTTTAATGTGTTCACACATGAAACCTCATTTGGGGGCATTTTCTCTGAAAATTCTTTGGCCAAAAGAACAGCCAAACGCAGCTACATTTTCCCTGGGCTCCCTAAATACTCAGTACAATTTCAGAATAAATCTATAATAATTACCACTCCAAAGAACTGCAACGCTACACAAACCAATTCTGACAAAATATGGGAAATGGTAGCATAAAACATCAAAACCCTGAACTACGCTCGAACTTAAACCACAGACATTTCCAGTTAAACGCAGCAAAACCACCTCATCCCGGCCATTTGTGGATTTGCCAGGATAGTACTATACAAGAATATACACAACTCTGGAAAACTCTACAGTGCAGAAGCACAACAATGTAAAACATCCGTGAGACAGAGTCTGAAATTCAGTCTAACCAGGGACGAAGATCAGACTTACCCTTCTTCTCCCTCATTATAACGGCAACTGAAAAAAGGGCAAAACTTCACCTCATAGGACACATAGATATTCCTTCTCAACGAGTATGACACCAGACTGCTTCAGACATGGCTGAGTTTACTGATTGCAAGCACCCATTGCAGTTTGCCTGCAGCTGTTAAACACAACTCCGAGATGAGTTTTCCCCATCTTTAAACCTCACTTTCATTATGTCCTCAAAACAGCAACGTCATCGTTCCGAGAAATTCTGATGGTGACGAGAGAAAAGGGATTGTCAAAAGGGCCCCACGTGAAGTTCGTGCTCCTCATCAAGCCTAGCTTGGGCGTTTATTCCTTCCACAAGAAAGTGAAGTCATTCTGAAGTCATTCTCTCTGAACAAGACATTTGTTCTCAAGCTGCTGGCTATACCTATCGTGTGGCTGAACAAGACACATCAAATAAATCCGATTCCAGTGTAAAATTCCCAAGGAAGATTCCTGTTCTAGTGTAAGGCCGAAGTGCACAGATTCCAGAAATGCTTTCTGGAAAACATTTTTCAATGACAATGGAGAATACTTAGGGTATTTTTTTCTTTATCCTGAGTAAAAGATTTTTTTTTTTTTTTAATTTATTTATCAAAGCCCTAGGCACATACTGCTACAGTGCAGTTAGATCTTGTCATATAGTCCCAGTATCCTAAAGGCCATTATTGGATTATTTTCTGAAGCAGTTCTCCTCATTCTTCTCCCACAGGTGGTGGTGGCTGGCACAGCTTGTATAATCTGAGAATGACAAAAAAACAAAGCAATCGTTATTCTGAAAGCTTGGTCATTATTAAAATGGGTACATTTAAGGAACAAAAACTAAATACAAGTCTTCCTGTACTGCAAAACAAGAAGTAATTAATTCAGTTTAATAACATTGATATAAAACCAGTAAAATCTTATTCATGAGCATGAATGTTTATGTTGAAAAAGGTATTATTAAAATACACATCTATAAGGAATCATATAAAGACATTCTAGTCTAGTCAAGTTTTCACATTTCTGCACTGAAGACCCCATTCTGGAGGTCTCCACCAAGCCTCCACTAATCCAGTTACCCCTTGTTGCTCCAAATTTCTACAATACACTACACTTGATCTTAGTCAAAAGGCCGAGAAGCGGAAATTAAATTGGAAAACTAAATTGGAAAAGCTGCTTGGTCAATGCCATCGCCCCCATTTTTGTTCTGTTTGTTTTGGCACAGTCAGACCTCGCTCCAACACAGTTCTCTATGAAACTGATGCTGCTTGAAGAACCTAAGACAGATGTCAGACATGTGACACGCCAGCACGGAGATTTCAAACTCTCCCTCCTCATTACTACATGTATGAAGTCGAAACCTGTAAGGTACAGTTCAAATAACTACCTCAGTACAGGCTGAAATTGCCACTCCTTCATTTATAAAGGCTTTTGAATTTCTATTTTGCATGGACTTGGTTATTATAGAATCATAGAATGGTTTGGGTTGGAAGGGACCTTCAAGACCATCCAGTTCCAACCCCCTGCCCTGGGCAGGGACACCTCCCACCAGACCAGGTTGCTCAAAGCCCCATCCAGCCTGGTCTTCTCACAGCTTTTACTGTAGTAAAATGTTGATTTATTGCCTTAGGTTCCCACAATGCAAGACAGTTGGTCAGAAAATTTTGGTCTCAACTGCTGGTAAGAGAATGACTTTATTGCCGATGGGTTTACTCTAGGATTAGTACTTTTGCTGGATCTTATTTAATTTCCTTCATGGGGCATGTGAGATGCATCTATGTTCCATCAAATGCTGCTACTCAGATTTACTCCCACCTTTTACAATTAAGGTACACTCCTTTTCTAGGTCAAGCACATGCACAGAACGACGTGCAGTGATTTATTACACACAAATTATGAGCAGCAGCCCAACTCCCTACTGGGAGAAATTGGGACAGCTGAGAAAAGGGGAGCAAACTGTGTAAAAAGAAAATGTTCCTGAATATTACTGGTCAGAATCCAGAAGACGGTCTTTCTGTGAGGCTATGGGTAGTTTTTGTGTTCACTCAAATGGGTACCTCTATCAGGAATTCCTTGTTTCTTTACTAAAGTTTAAACACCCCAGTGGGTCTGTTATGCATTTCACACATCTGTTTCGCTCATTCAATGTGTTATCGTTAGTCTGCAAAAAACATTAAGTTTTAAATTGGTAAAAAATAAAAAGTTTAAATTAGAGCTGGATTAATAAAAAGGCTTTAAGATAAAATTAAGAACGTTGTTGTTTGGTTATTTTCATTTATGAGTTTTGTGCTTGTTAAGAAACATTTCAGGTACCTGCAATCCATCACAGCATTAAAAAGCTGGATAAATATAGAACAGTTGCATTTTTCATTCTAATGGATGTTTCAGAAAGAGACAAAGAAAGACTACATCATCTCTAAAAGCAACTGGAACACGATTTTGCTGAGATATTGCAATACAGTATTTCATTAAAATGGAGTTATGGATTTAGTTATGAATCTTTCCCCAAAACCACTAAACATCACAAGTGATGAAGGACTTACTCCAGTGTTTTCGTAATTAACATGAACTAGGTTTCATTTTTCAAAAATGGGCACATTTTGAAGTGCTGCATAGCCTGAATTTCTGCAACTAATTAAGTAAAATCGTATGGCTAAGAACGTCATTGATTTTAGGTACATTAAAATCCAAATCTTACCAATTAGTGCACAATACAGTCAATGTTTATTGTTAGTTTTTGAGCAGCCAGGACAGAATTTGGCACAAACTGGGCACGACCATGGTCTAGGACAGAAACAATCAGTTACCTTGGGACAGACTGGGGCGTTCGATCCCTCACCCCTAGATTCTTGGCTGTGTTTTGTACTCTTGCACCCTGTGAAAGAGAAACAACAATTTTGTTTCATTTATTCCAACACAAGTGAGAAAGTTTTCCTGAGATTTCTAGAAGCACATAACCATTGATTATAATTAATACATATGCTCCATGTCCTGAAACGACTCTCCTATTCTAAGGTGGCAAACAAGTTGAAGCGGTACATTAGTTCTCAATTTAGAGAAATAAGCAGAAAAGAGATAAAATCTTTCCACTTTTCATTAAATAAATGTGTACATATATATCTCACTAACTTAAAAGACTTTATAAAGAATTAACATTTAAGGTTTAAAACAACACAAACCCATCTTGTTTCAATTTGTTCGATTTTTGTCACCATTCTTTGTAGAAGGCATGGATAACAAAGTGAAATGTCACTTATTTCCCATGAACTTCTGAACAGACAAAAATTTCAGATTATTTCCTATGAATAGCTTTCTAGTTAAATCTAGAAAAATGGCCTAAATTGAGGCATTAAATTAGGATTAGAAAAATGTAGGTCCCAATTTTTCTTTATGATCACAGAATCAGAAAAACAAAAAAAAAAATCAGGTTGGAAAGGAACTCCCAGGGTTGTTTAGGACTCTCAAGATTGTTTAATCCAACATCTCTGCTTAAAGCAGGGTCAACTAGAAAAGCTGGTCTCTCTGTACCTCAACTGATCCTTTGGAAAACCACCATGAAAGTACAGAATACAGAATCGTGGTGGTTGGAAGGGACCTCAGAGATCATCAAGTCCAACCAACAAAAAAAAACAAAAAAAAAAACAAAAAACAAACCCACACAAAAAACACAAACCACCACCCACCACCTAAACAGACAACAACATCCACCAAACCAAAAACCATCACCCACCCACACAGCACCCCACCACAAACCAATAATCTTGGGCACTAGAGCATGCCCTGAAGAACCATGTCTACATGTTTCTTAAATACCTCCAGGGATGGTGACTCCACCACCTCCCTGGGCAGCCCATTCCAATGCTGGATAACCCTTTCAGTAAAGAAATGTTTCCTAATATCCAACCTGAACTTCCCCTGGCGCAACTACTTGTACAGAGCGATAAGGTCTCCCCTCAGTCTCCTCTTCCCCAGACTGAACAACCCCAGCTCCCTCAGCCTCTCCTCCTAAGACTTGTGCTCCAGACCCCTCACCAGCTTCGTTGCCCTTCTCTGGACCCGCTCCAGCACCTCAATGTCCCTCTTGTGGTAGGGGGCCCAAAACTGGACACAGTACTCGAGGTGGGGTCTCACCAGTGCCAAGTACAGGGGGACGATCACCTCTTGGGCTCTACTTGCCACACTGTTCTTGATACAGGCCAGGATGCTGTTGGCCTTCTTGGCCCCCTGGGCACACTGCTGGCTCATGTTCAGCCGACAGTCGACCAACACCCCCAGGTCCTTTTCTGCCAGGCAGCTCCAGCCACTCTGCCCCCAGCCTGGAGCGCTGCCTGGGGTTGTTGTGTACTTTTGTCTCACTGACTCATCCAGTAAGGAGGAAGCTGATAAAATACGTGCAATGTTCATACACCATGATAGGGAAAAAACACAGACTCTTCTGCAAACAATCTAGCTTAGACATATGAAAGAACTCAGTAAAATTTGTTTTTAAAATTATGAGGTCCAGCTTTTCCAGTGCTGTTTTATTAATGTAAAGTGGCCATTGTAAAGAAACGTATCTATTAGATTTATAGTCTGTGTTTTCTGACGTATTAAAGGAGATGGAAACTACTTGTTCTGTCTGTAATACAAACACTGATTCTCCCTTTATTTGTCCTTCTGTACTGCCTAACGCAGAAGTCTCCACTGGTGGAGATTTAAGAATAGATATGCCAAGTGTCTGTCATGAATTACCTAAGGACAGCTGACCCAGTGTGGGTTACAAAGTCAGACATGAGCTTCATCACCTTCAGTGTCCTTTCCACAGTGCCGTTTTCTAAAATTTTATCATATTAAAGAAACTCCACCATGACAGACTGCTGAGACTGGCATACGATTAACATAATTGCGAGCCAGAATATACATATACATGGGAAAACTAGCTAAATTAACCACATGTAGATCCTGAACGTCAGTGCTGTGACTGCCTCTGAGAACAAAACCAGTCTATTTTTACTTGCATCACTCACTAGACAAATTAATTTTAGTATCTTGCTCACATAATAAATCAAATGCATCGATTTAAAAAGGAGTCTAGCTTTATACAACCATGTAATTTATTGTTTAGCAGGAGAACAAATTAGTCCAACCTTACAACCACCAGATTCTTATTTCTTTTGAGGAAAAGCCCCCAGGGATTACCAGCAACTTGCCACATGACATCTCTTTGTCTCCACTGAGCACTATTGTACCATTCCTATTTCAATATACTGTTAACCTATACTTCTCCAACGTTATCCTTAAAGCTATAGCAATGTAAATATTGACTCTGTCTCAGGTGTATGGGACAGTTGTGCTACACATTTCTGGAATGCTTCCCTCTGGGTACCAGTACTGCCAGAGCACTGGTGGAAGATGCCAGCAGCTCTGAGGAGACACCACCATCAATCTGGACTCTTGTATAGAAACTAGTATTCTCATTGCCATGAGCAAAAATGATAGGTTTATTTTCAAGCTACACACTAATTTAAGGATAGCAAGAACCTGTCACATAAAGAAAACAGATTCTCTTTATGCCCTGCTCAAAGAGCTCTAAATCAGTACAATTCTTATGAGAATTATTCAAAATGCAGTGCTGTTGTTATACTCATGAAAAGGCATAGAAAAATGATTACTCACTTAAAAGACAACACAAATTCTCTCCTAGTCTTTTCTGTTTATCAACTTTTTAGTCACCTTTCTTCCTCAGAACCCCGTGCCCTCCTGCAGCTCCTTTCCTAGGCCTCTGTCCTCTCCACACTTTGTTGCATCCTGAAGACATGCTCCTGTCAGGCTGCTTTACATAGTATTTTGGGTGTACAGATGTTTACATGAATAAACATACATGAGTAAATAAAGTTATGAGAAGATAGCTGGGACATTTTGCCAATATTTTTATTTTAAAAAATCAGTCTAGACTGGATTAGCAGCTGAAAAACAGACACCACTTAACTAAAAGCATCCCGCAGATGCAAGCTCCTACCAACTTTCACAAAGTTGGTCTCTTTCCTTTAGTTCTGCAGAGCAGGTGCTTGCAAAAATCTAGTTATAACTGACAGGGCAACTACTTTGCAAATTGTCCCAACCATACAGTGAGGGCTATTATGGGTCTTGTTAAACATGATCACGACCTCATTTGATCGAAAAGAACCACTTCCTGAGGTCACCCGTTCAGTCAGGTGTCTCCAGTTTAGAACCATAGAATAACAGAATGGTTTGGGTTTGAAGGAACCTTAAAGATCATTGAGTTCCAACCCCCTGCCCTGGGCAGGGACACCTCCCACCAGACCAGGTTGCTCAAACTCCCATCCAGCCTGGCCTGGCATTTATTCAATACTGGTGCCCCAAGCTGGAAGAGGTACCAGCTTCAGGAGAGACAATTTCCCCTCTGGGAAGCTGATACTGCTGGGACCTAACATTGCTGGCTTCTCCAGAATAACATGTCCCTTCATTTTCACCTTCCTGTGGCTAATTTCTTTATTCCACAAAAAGATTCAAGTTGTAAATGGGCTAACAAATTTTTGTTTGGGGTTTTTTTTCTTATTAAACCAGGTAAAAGACATATCTATTGCCCTTTACTAAATCTTCTGCATCAAACCCCAAGAAGCCCTGTTTTTTCCCCCTCCAAATTTTATGGCCTGCCTTAGCTCCTGATAGTTAAATCCTACAGATAATTTAAACATTGAATCTGGAACAGGTTTCTAGAAAATACTATAGTGTACTGTTGAAATTACTCCAAAACATTCAGGATTTAATGGAGGGTTATATTTCTACTACAGAACTCCAAGACTGATTTAAAATTACAATAAAAGATTATTGCTCTATTAAATGCCGTAGTGTTTTCCTGCAAGAAGAAGAATGCGTGAAAAAAGTCTGGCCTGATATACTAGCAGACTTTTTTGCAGTGTCTGTGGGTGGTATTGAGATATTGGTATCTTTAACAGCTATTGATCACCAGCTGCTTTGCTTCGGAGAATGTAGACCCACTGCAGGCTTCTTTCCACATCTCTATTTGAGCAAGTACAGTTACAGCTGCTCAAAACCACACAAGTTACTTCCATTTTGTCTTTCATTTAATAAACTGCAGAAATGAATCAGCATTTTTGTAAACGGTCTAGAACGGCACATTGGAAATGTGCCCTTTGACAGAACACATCCTGCAAGCAGATATATGCAAAACTCTACATCCACGTTTTTTGACTGCAAAATACCCAGATCTGCCTCTTGTCTAGAGCTTCAGGAGCAGACACATCAACCTGTACTTGCAACTTTATCCTCATACAGCAGTAGCTTCCTTTTCAAGTCAAACTAAAGCTGTAATTCCTGGGCAGACTTACATGATCTGATTCAAGAACTTTGAGGGTATTTATTCACCACAGAAACTTAATTTATGCACCGAATACAGTGAAAGTCCAACACAAAAAGGAATCAGACTAATTACTCTGGTGTATCCGTGTTAGGCATCAGCACTTACATACAGTTCATCAGAATCTATGCCTTGAGAATATCTACGCAATTGCTTTAACAGACTAAAGGTTTAGTCTCACATATGGGGGTTTTTTTGTCTACAGCAAGTTGGAAGTGAAGTACAGCTGTTTAATCATTTTTGTAACTAAACCGTGATTGCTGCACAGAGTATGTAGCAGAATTAATGAAAATAACAAAATCAGATGCAAATTAAAAACCAGAAATGATTAATCTTGTCTTATCTGTGATTAATTGTTCCAATATTTAATTATCTTTTTTTCACTGCAAGACTGAGTGCATCCTGTATCTATCTTGTTTATGCTTTTGTTGTAAGGCTGAAAGGTACCACAGGCTGGGATATATGTTCCATATGTACACACAGTGATTAAGTTCCAGCTCAACCTCTCTTTGATCAACTAAATAGGTTGAGCTCTTTAATCTTCACTTCATAAGCCTTGCCAGCAACCTCTGGATCATTCATGCTCCTCCTTTGAACTCCCTCCAAGATTCCAAACATCCTTTTGAAAGCATTTATCTGATAACAAGTTAGTCTAGGAAAAGCTGTGCCAATACAGTAGAGTATAACCCCCATTTTCAGTTGACACTGCTTTTTAATCCAGCATTTTCCATCACACCTGAGCACTAAGAGTTCATCTTGAGGTAGTTATCTATCCACAACAGACTCTAAATCCTAATATTCTATTATGACCATAGAGTGAAAAACACTATATTGAAATAAGCACATTGTCCTAAGCAATCTTGCCTGGAAAGTTAAGAACACGGTATTTATTTCTCCCCTTCCTTCCTACACTTCCCCTTCATTCAGTACATGAGTCACTTTTTATTAACAACAGTTAATAATCTCAAGTTATTTTTACAGATAATATATATTAAAATCAAGATTGACTTACTCAGCAGCCTGTTCTGATGTATACCACGAAAATCACTAATTAAAATCATAACCCCATAGAAATTATGATCCATTTACACATATAGAAAAAGCAAGCACCTGGTTAAAAAAGCCTGTCCCGTTATTTTCAAGAAAACAAACCCTTTCGGTCAACGATAAAGGAAGAGAATTAAAAAAAACCCAACAACTAAATACCCAGACTAAGAAAACTCACGCAGATGTTACACAACACTAAGATGGAGGTTAAAAAATGCTTGGCCGGGTCATTCTTGCTTGATGATAACACGTCTCCTTAGGAAACATCAAGACCTTACCCATAGCCAGCATCTTACCTGTTTGCGCATGACATCTGTAGCCTGCATGATGTAGCGGGGAGGTAGCCCGTGGCTACGAGCCAGGATGATCGCCTGCTCCAGGGTAACACTCAGAGTGCAGCTGCAACGGGAGACACAAGTCAGCTATCAGCAGATAGTTGTGATTTCCTTAAAATAATTGCTTTTAGATCAGTTATCTTTTTTTTTAAAAAAAAAAAAAAGTTATAAATAAAAAGATCATAGTAGACGTGCCGCCCCTATCCCTCCCTCACCCATGCAGGCATTAGCCTGGACACTGAAATGCTTCTTAATTAGAACAATTTTGAGTAGTAAGAAGTGCTCCTGCTGACTTGACACCAAATGCATTTGCCTTCTTTTACCATTGTTTAAAAAAAACAACAAAAAACCAAAAACACAGTAGAAAACACAACCCAACTATGGTTTGGCAACTGCATGAGAGAGTGACAACCCAAGGAAAAGACATTTTTTTTATAACTGTATAAATCCCTTTCCAAGTGGTTTCTGCACACTTTATCTCTCACCCTCCACTGTTAATGCAGACCCTAGCTTTGATACCAGGATCCTGACCTCTTGCCATTAATTTAGCTTGGTCACTCTCATCCCACATCAGTGCAATTTCGTCCAAAATTAAGAGACATTGAGCACTGGAACAGGCTGCCCAGGGAGGTGGTGGAGTCTCCTTCTCTGGAGACATTCAAAACCTGCCTGGACACGTTCCTGTGGGACCTGCTCTAGGTGGACTTGCTTTGGCAGCAGGGTTGGACCAGATGATCTCCAGAGGTCCCTTCCAACCCCATGTCATTCTGTGGTTTACCCCTTTCAAAAAGAAAATACATAAATAGGACGTTCCTTCAAATAAAATGCCCTCTCCTACTTTGTCAATCCTTTTCATGTAAATGCTTGGGGAGAAAAATCTATCATGGTACCACATCCTAATGAAAAGGCTGTAATGGCTTTGTCAGAGCAACCAGGAAAAGTTTCAGAGCTAGAGATCTTTCTGTAGGACAACTTGTCATTGCACCAGACAAGAAGGAGTAGGAAAAGTCATTTTGGACATGCTGTCCGATTTCAGTTGTCATGGTGAGAATGAGGACAGATAGATGGTTTCTCATACAATCAAGACCAAAGCTGTGGAAGACTCACAGAGAAAGGCGACAAAACCGAGTAGAAACAGGCACTTTTTGGAAAAGTGCAACATGTTTGAGGGCTGCTATCACCCAAGAGGTGAGAGTGGCTGCACTCTGCAGCAGTAACCTGGTAGGTGATTTTTGTATTCCCAACCAAAGCACTGCAATAATCAAAACTCCAGCCAGAGAGATGAGACCTACAGAAAATGGTCCCACCTCAGCAGAACCTGACAAAAGCCACACATTTCAAATTCAAACAGTAAAACTAAGACACATGGTTAAAACATACTTTTGAGCAGCCTTTTGGCAAAATCCTGACCAGCGGATTCTGCGTAGCTTATATTATGCACACAGAAGAGACAATATGTTTCAATCAAACACTCATCTTGCTGAGCAGAAGATCTGTAGGAGGAAAAATGTGTCTGCACTGGTTTTCTTACTGAAAAAAAAACCAACCCACCCTGACACGTTTTAAATACCGCTTAAGTAAATTTATGGACTGTAAAAAGTTTCACAGTAGTGAGTGCAGAAGACATTAAATTTGATCTGTAGCTTTATTAATGGCCTTTCATTAAAAATTTATAAGCCAAGTGATTTTCCTTGGTAATGAAATAATTTTTATTCCCCAGATTCTTGTATACACTGACCTCAGAGTTAACTTGAAGCAAAAATCTATTGATCTTTTGTGTTATATGTTTGATTAAGGTGCACAGTAGTTAAATATTTGACTAGAAATTCTAAACACCGTGTTTTCATCTTGTCTTTGAAAGGTGAAATCTTGCGCAAATATGGTACATGCTCATAATATTTACCAGCACCAAAACCTAAACATCTAACCTTCAAGGCCAGATTGCAGAGGAAGCTTTATCCCACTGATAAGGGGAAAAAGCAAAGGTACCTGAAATCTAATTTGACAGGTGTAATCTAAGCCAGAAAAAAAGGGTAAGAAGTCCCTCTGTAGGTATAATAGAGGTTAATGGGCTCCGAGCACAGCTTTCAGCCAACCAGTTACTGAGCCAAACTTCCCATAAATCCCATCTTCCTGGAACCCAAGATTCTGAAAGAACAGAAAAAAAATCATATTCTGTATGCGTGAACCAAAACGAACAAAAGAACCTCTGAAAGGAAGGTCAGCTTGAAGAATGAGGTGCAAACACTAATCTTGTGGTTGTACAAGCCTGCCAAACTGCTCAGTGTCCAACAGCCCGATGAAATGGCTGGGGATTACGGACATTCTGAGCCGTCTACGTTTTGACAATGCCAACCCTGGTTCAGAAATGAGGTTGCCAAGCATGTAGATAAAGACATAACCAGAGTGGGAAAAGCAGAGACAAAGAGCAAAATAGCACAATGAGGGTTTCTTTAAAAGGCTACTATGAAGCTAGGCAACAGCTCCAGCACAAGCCTGAAACACAGAGGCTAAAACTCTAGATCTCACCAAGGATCATGTTTTGAACGTATCCTAGCAAATTAGTAGGGAAGACACTCAAGATGACAGCACTGACTGTCTATTATCACACCTCTTTAATAAAATATTTTACATTTGAGGTGAAGTCCAACAGTAATGCTGGTTGGATACATTCACCACTTGTGTTAAAAAACATTCCGACTTGTTAACATATGTTAAAAAAATGTTAAAATAGCATTAGTGGCATGACTGCATTTCAATATACTATTTCAATATACTGTTTCATTAGAGATGCAATTTAATATAGCTAGATTTTGTGTTTCTCAAGGCAAGTGAAAGGTCTGATGAATGGCGGAATATAAATTATTGTTTATGGCTTTTGTCATGCAATTATGAAGTAAGGTTACTAATTTCTAAATACCAAAAAGCATCCCCACTCAGATAGCTTCATTTTGGTTGAACACTCATTCTTCTAATAAAACTGATGATATAAACCTTCCATGGTGCTATGCTGAAATGACTCACTACTGAACATGTATTTACATGCTGGGGCTTTCTCCCAGCCCTTCAAATATCGTTTCTGAATTACTGCATATTCCTTATTGGAAATCAAACTGCTCTGGAAACCAGCTGTGAACAAAACAAATGCACACAGAAAACATCAGCCGGTAACATGGAGAAGTCCTGACTGGAAGTACCTCAGCAATAGGACTGACAAGCTCAGAGGGATCGACCAAATGCACATTTAAACCAACACAACCTGCACAATGTCATGAAATAATACGAAAGCTGAGAATTCCTCACATGGTTAAGACTGTTCTGCTGATCTGAGCAAGGTTCAACATCAAGGATTGTCAGCAAATATGTGCAATATGTAACAATCCATCTTTCTCCCCCATTTTGAGAGCTGATGAGCAGATGGTATTAAAGTTTACAAAGCAATTTGGAAGCAGTTCTGACCATTGAAAGTATCTGGTCATTTGGATGCTATCACCCCAGACAAACCAAACAAGGATAATACTAGGGGAAAAACTCCTTCGGTGCTCTTGTAACATTCTGTTATGGGAAGCATAAATCCCAAATCCATATATTTTACAGCGTAAACAATTCAAAATCTGTTCCCACTCCCTCTCTTTTCCTCTCATCCCTTCTTTTATGCCAGAAAAACAAAAGACCCGAATTCATCATCTCAGAATTTCTGTCAGTTAGAATCACAAATTCCCTGCCTTGATGGATTATAGCAGCAAGGCAGCGCAGACATTTGGCTTTCCCAGCACAACTGGGCTGAGAACTCCTCTTTTCACCCATTTGGTTTCCAAGAAACAGAAGGGACCGCAGCTGCTCCTGGTCCCTGCCTGCTATCCCCAGTCTCCCATCAGTCATGACAGCATTGATGTGAAGATTAAATACAAACTTTCAAACATCTTCTGCATCAGGCCATCCTGAACAGACGAGGTTAAATCATTTTCTATCACCCATAGTCCATTTGTTTCTGACTGGATGTGATTTTTACTAAAGGGCAGTAAAATCAGCTGGATAGACATACATCTGCACTGAAAGATTGACTCCTAGAAGAGGAAAACAGATTGAAATTTTCTAAGAAATGGATTGCTTCATGACAGCTTGTTTAATGCCACCTGAAAGGAAAAATAATTTGAGTTCATGTACACTACCTAGAGAGCTGCCATTCAGCAAACCCTATATCTATGTTACCAGATGAAAAAGAATCTAAACCATTCAGTTCATTCTCGGGATTCAATTAGGATTCCAGCTATCCTGCATCCAAAGATGTAGCAAAACATCCCTTCGAAAAATGCCCTGAATAGAAAAGATGAGGTGAAACAAATTGCTTTAGTAGTTACCACAGTCAGAGATGTCGAAATGAATTATGTTCTGGCTATGTGAATAGGAAACAAATATGAGAAGATGAGAAGGCTGCATGTATGCTTTGTCTAATTAAAAGCTAAAGCATCTACTTAACACATAATTTAATGTCATTGTTATTATTTTAATTACTTTTCTTTCCATACATCATAAGCTAATCACACCTACGTTTGACCACCTTTTAAACCAATTACACTATTAAGTATTCATTTGTTTCTGCTTTCATTTAAATTAATGCTTATAGAGCAGCTATTTTTTATGTCAGTGTACGCAGCAATTAAAGACTTTAGTGCTAATTAAGTAACTTCAGGGTAAAAAAATTTGGGGCTATTTTTCTATAATGACTAGTGATTGCTGGGCAATAAGTGATGATTCTGATGAGAAACCCAAAGAAGAAAATAGACCATGATAAACCTAAAAAGGAAGGAAAAGCTTCTTCAGGACTATAAGGAATGAGCATAAAAAGTGTAGACAGGTCTAAGATTCTCCCACAATTTCTAAGCTGTTCTCATTGTGGGAATATGTCTCCATACAAGTAAAACTGAAGTTTGCATTCTCTGTGCCCATATACTGAAACTTTGCTGAACTGCTGAACAGAACTTCATCTCACAGGGAGAGAGAAGTTGGGGCAGCCAATATCTGCTAGAGAGAAAACGAGCATGAAGTTTGTATATTAAACAA